TTGGCCTCAGCCCAACGATCCAGTCTGTTCGGAGTAAGGTGGCTTCATCAACAGGCTTCTCTTAGTTGGGTGGCCTGCAGTAGACACCAGCCACAAGGTTTCCTTTGTTGCCTTCATCTCTAATTCTTACCCATAAGCTTTCAACCTGCTCATGGATATTCTTCAGAGACAGATCTTCACGCTCTATCCATTTCTTGATGTAGAGGGCAACTCCTCTGTCCCTCCTTCCTCGCCTGTCCCTTCTGAACGGCTTGTACCCATTGATAGCCACACTCCAGTCAGGGGATTCATCCCATCAACCTTCAGTAATAGCAGCTAGGTCATAGCTTTCTAATAGCATGGTAGCTTCCAGCTCCTGTTTGCTGCCCATGCTGCGTGCATTGGTGTAGAGGAATTATTTAACAAGCCATTCTGTAGAATTGCAGAGACGATCGATTTCTGAAAAACCGTAGAAAATTTGATCTCTTCAGATTTTCCCAATACATGTGCCTATATTGAGTAGCACTTTTATTTTTCTGTCACCAAAAAATAATAAAAAAGCTGCATTTAAGTCTTATGACATTCTAGAGTTAACATTGCTGAGAGAAGAAATTTTAAGAAGTGATAATGCAGGAAGATAACATTTTATATGAAAACATGAAAGCAAAGTGTTTGCCTTTATGAGTCTTTAATTGTCCTTATTTATAAAAACACCATTCCATTTTTACTTTTTACAAGCTGTGAATATTAATTGCGAACTAATACAGTTTGTAATTCTTGAGTTCTTTTTGGAGTTCTGTTCATCATTCCTGTACATTCACATATCACTTGCTATATACGTGTGTTATGCATTATTATTTATGCAAAGGTATTTTATGTGCATGTGTGTATATACTTTGTTTACATGTTTGTATTATATGTATACACACACATATCATTAATATGTCATTAAAAATTAGTTTTTGCCATAACAAGACTGTCTCGATGTTGTTAACTCTTTAAATGGCCTGAAATATAGAGGAGTTGTAATATTGTGAAAAATAATGAAAATTCTGAAGGATGATGAAGTATTTGAAGAAGCTGTTGATTCTGTTTTTTTTAAATTATTTTCTTGGCATTTACTCAGAACATTGTCTTTAAAATTACTCTTTGTTTTGGTCTTATTTAGCCTGTAAATGTTCATCACATTCTCTTTTTACACTTTGAACGTGGCACTACAACTTTCATTTTAAATGTTACCTTTAAATTCTTGTTGTTATTTTCACATTGTTGGCAAAATATGAAGCTGTTCTTGTGTAACATCTTTTCCAACAAAAGAAATACAGTTAAAAAGTGGAACAAAATTAATTTATAGAAAAAATAAAAATTTTATTTTAGAAGCTGGAGTTGAAGTTGAGTCTGCAATGAAAGGATGAGAGTGGTTTTTCTTATAGTCATCAGCTGAAAATGTGTGTCAGACAAGTGCCGGCTGATGAAATTGAAAGTAGCATTGCACTCATGTACCTAAAGTATAGTTATATTGTTTCATACTGCCAGTACTTTACTATTGCTGCAAAAAAACTTTAAAACAGTATCTTAATGAAAAGTGATCAATTGGATAATTGTTACTTCTTTAGGTCAAGATTGAGCAGGTTGCTATGGAACTTCAGCTTACTCCCTTCACTGTACTTCTGCGGTCAGTCCTGGATCAGCTGCAGGAAAAGGATTCTGCTCGCATATTTGCTCAGCCAGTGAACCTTAAAGAGGTGTGTTTTACACTGTGTTTGCTTAGGACTTGATGGCACTTAGTGCAAGAAACAAATCATTGCATGCAGAGTTGGGAGCAGTGTTACCTTTTAATCTTGATGCTGATAATTTACGTTATGAGTTATGACTTACTGCTATGAAAGTTGATTTATGTTCATGTACCAAACTAATTTCTGGGAAATACTTGTATGGAATAACTATGAGTACATACTGATCTTCTAGGATAAGATTGCTTGATAAAACAAATTCCAAGGGTGTCTTACAAACAGAAATGTGGATACTGTGTTCTTACTTGCAGGTGAAATTCCTTTTCATTCAGTGAGATACCAGATAAACTTAGAGTGTGTTTGTGTGTATGTGTGCATATGAACATATACAACACATTTATACATGTGAGCAAATAACATGTAGACATGCATACATGTCTGTTGTATATATTTACATGTGTATATACACTAGATACGCATGTATATATTCTACATATGTGTACATATGTATAGATACATTTATAAGTATGCATATGCATAAATACACGTATAATATATACATAAAACTATAGAATTCTAAAAACATGTAGTTTCAGTGTCTATTTGTAGAACTCCAACTTCTTACCTAAGGTGCAGAATCTTGTAATGCATAAATGTGCAAATGTTTGCAGTATCAAAATGTGCAATTCTGAGCTACGTTTTGAAGTTCTTGATTTGAGATGTTACAACATATGTTAGAAAATGTGGATCATTTAATAGCTGATGTTTCTTTGTATGTAAGAAGATAATTTTACCTATTTGTGTTTTAAATATTTATTCAAAGGTTCCAGACTATTTGGATCATATTAAACATCCTATGGATTTCTCTACCATGCGAAAACGGTTAGATGCTCAAGGCTATAAAAACCTCAGTGAGTTTGAAGAAGACTTCAATCTTATCATAGATAACTGTATGAAATACAATGCAAAAGATACAATATTCTATAGAGCTGCAGTGCGGTTAAGAGATCAAGGAGGTGTAGTTCTCAGGCAAGCTAGGCGAGATGCTGAAGGAATCGGTTATAATAATGAAACTGGAATGCACTTACCTGAACGGCCTAAACTTGAGTCACCCCAGCCTTTCTCTTGGGAAGATGGTAAGATGTTTTTGGATTACGTTTAAAAGTTGCATTTTTCATTACACACAGTGTGTACATCCTATACAGATGTTTAAGATTGTTGCTGTTCAGTTTGCTGACTAGATCCACCCCCCATTGAAAACACTGCTTGAAAGATTCAAGTGTTTCTCTTCTACTAGATCTGTCATTAGAGAACAGCGTTATCCACATTCTGATTTTGACTATGCCAGAGCCTAATTTAATGAGATAACATTAAAAAGGTTTTTAAATTGAGCATGTGCTTTCAAGTGATTGTATATGCTTGTAAGTCATGGAAAATGACTACCAGTACTCATAAACTTCAGCACATTCTTAAATAACCTACTAAATTAAAAAATCAATCACATTTGTAATGCTAGGAACTAAAATTGCTTCTTTTGACATATATATCAGTTTTCTGAGGTTTTGGCAGTAAAGAGGAATAATTAACATGTTTCTTTTATAACTATAATATTGCCCTTCTCTTTGACAAGAAGGAAATCATCTATTAGGATGGGAAAGATTAATTACGTTCTTCTGACCTTTTAATTCTTTGCTCTACTACTTAATTTTCTTGAGTAAAACGCTGATCAAGAAGAATAGTAATTATGTAGTAGGAATTTGTTTCAACGTTTCTTCACTGGTAACGGTGAAGCTGCTAAGACTGTAATTTAAGTAGCTTTTTGATGACGATTTTTAATTCTGGCAAGTTAATTTTATTTTTTTTTCTTCCTGTTAGTATTATTATTCTGGGAAACATGCTGGGAAACACTAACATGTTTTCAATTATACGTATTCTGACTTCAGTGGATAGGTTACTGAATCCTGCAAACAGAGCGCATATGTCCTTGGAAGAACAGCTGAGAGAGTTGCTAGAAAAACTTGATCTCACCTGTGCAATGAAATCCAGTGGGTCAAGGAGCAAAAGAGCAAAGCTGTTAAAGAAAGAAATCAGCATTATTCGTAACAAACTAAGTCAGCAACACAACCAAGCTCCTCAAATAGAATCAGGTATTGGAAGTTTTGAAGAAGAAAGTGCAGCATTAGAACAAGATGGAGAAGAAGAAGGTAAGATCTTAAGTCATGTTTAAATCAGTACTGTTATGAACTTCTTCAGTCAGGTGCTTTAATCATGTGAATTAAAGAGTGTAATAAAAAAATATTGTATTTAATTTTTAAAGGGACAAATAGCCACTTAATCAAAACAAATATTTTAAGAATGTAAGAATGATCTTTTTATAAAAAACCTACCTCCATTATTTTTCACAGTAGCAAGGCTTTTTAAAAATTGAGACATTAAGAAATGAAAGTACAGACACTCTCTCATGAAAAGGAATTGGAATTGGTGGAGTGGAAAACATCTTTGTGTTTTTGGAAATCCACTTAAATGCCAAAATATGTATTAGAGATCATGTGAGCCTACGTCAATGGTGCTGAAAGCTCTGGCCGTTGTACTGTCTTTTATAGATTTTCGTTCTCTACTCCAGACTCTGGGGAGGGTGGAGGGTAGGTTTGGGTTGGTGTGTGGTGGGGTTTTTTATTATTTTTTTTAAACAAAGCTAACTGTTGATAAGACCTAACAAACTTCATGTTGTAGAATCAAGTCAGCCATATCTAACCATCCCTTCCCCTTGTGCTTCTCTTCCTCCTCAAAACATTGGTCTCAGAACTGCATCTACTCTTGGCTGATTCCTGTTGATTTCAATGAGAACAATATAATAGAAAGACCTAACTTTATATTTCAGTTGAATATAGTACTTGCTTTTTTAGCTTTTAAGTCAGTTACTGAAGTCTTTATTGCTCATTTTTAAATAATGCAAAAAAAAAAAATCTGGTCTTTATTAAAAAAAAAAAATCTAATTGAGTTTGTTCATGACCAGCTCCTCTCTAAAAAGCTACCAGTTTTTCTGTAGGAGAGTTAGAGATCCGTTTCATTTTGAATAAGTACATTGAATAGGAGGAGGAAAGAGCTCAAGGGAAGGTGGAAGCATGGTAACAAATAAAACAGTTTGTGTCTGGTGCAGCTTGATGCTATCAGAATTTTCGAAAGTGAAGTCAATAAGATGACTGTCCGTAACTGCCATTCAAACAGCAGCTTGGTGTTTAGTTTTTAGTGTGACTAAGAGAATGCTTCTCAAACATACAACTTGCTTGAGACTTGATAAGTGAACCAGCGTGCTTGTTCTGAGGCTGTTAAGTATTCCTAAAACGTTTAATGAGTCATTTTTTTGAATCTGGATTCTTTTGATCTTCAAGCAATAATGCTACTGAATGTAGTTCTTTAGGAATGTAGTTTTTGGCAGATAATGAATACGCTATTTTTTTTTTACTTGTAGCTTAACGTTTTTATGATACAGTCTTTCACTGCAGCTGTTGTGCTAAAAATAGTCCAAAAGTGAGCAGTAGCTGTTTTCTTGTATTTACAGTACACTTTTTTTAAGAAGCATAATGAAGAGCATGATCCAGAGTTCATTGGCATTGTTGTTACAATTCTGATCTAGTGAAGAGTAATAGTCATTAGTTCAAATTGCAATTCTGAAATGGAAGGTACTTAGAGGAGTAAAGAAAACAAACTGCGAAAAAGAAGGATGAGGAAAGTGGTAGTATACTGTGCCAAGGATCTCTACAGGAGCTGACTTTAGAAGAGCTGTGAATTCCTGCCCTTGCAATTCTGTCTTCAGTTTCTGATCACATCAAAAATACATTACCAGAATAATCCTGTGAAATTTAGGCTTTAGTGTCTAAGTAGTTCTCAGGTGGTTTTCTACACTTAAAGCTTTTGTGAATATTTTCTAATTAATTGCGAAAAAATCAGAAATTGTTTACAAAGAACAGTCAGCTTGGACGTTCTAAACTACAGGCTTTTTTAATTGGTGGTACTTCAAATGTGCTTATCTGTCTGTAAATTTCATTCGAAATGTCTTCCTGAAATATTATTTACCAATTCTAATACTTGTATGCTTTCAAAGGATGTGAGCATAGTCACTTTATTTTAATATTATATTTTTAATATGAACTATGCTGTTGTTTGATTAAAGTTTAAACAATGGGGCAGAGATTTTTCTGCACTTGGAAGTCATTGATTTCCAAGTAAGCATTGCTGAGCCAAAACAATGTAGAGATAATATTTAATCCACTGCAGATACAGGGCTTAAACCCTTGGGTTTTTCACCTTTTTTTCAGATGGCATATAAAAATTAATTAAATTTTAAAATTTCATGTGATATCATAAGTATTACGTTGGTCTCATACATTTACTCTAGAATAAGCATCTTCTTCATACTGATTGGTATATTAAAAGATTCTTTTGGAAGCTAGAAAGAAGGTTTTAACATCTTTTTGAGTTGGTAGTTATGGGTTAGGAAGTCCTTTTATTGTATTTGGGAATGCTGCAACAGTAGAATGTTTATTTTCTTTCCCATCACTTTCAATGAAAAACCAAAACTAGTTTTATCCGCTCACAGTTAAATCTCTGTTGTCTTTTCCCAGCATGGAATTATTTAAATTGACTGGGACACGATCATGTTAAAAAAATGTAAAAAAATAAGAAAAAAAGGGAAGGAAATAAAAATGGTAGAGGGTGGTTTTTCTGATTTCTCCTATCAAGTTTGTATTGTCAAGTGTGTATTTGCCAAGCTGCAAGACTTTGGGGGTGTTGTTTTTTTTTTCCCCCCTCCCTTCTTTTTATTTCATTTTCTTTTTGGTAGATAAAACTTCTAGCCACAACTGCAAAACAGCTTTGCAAATCTTGCCTTTCTGTAACTTTTATAACATATTTTAGCTCACTCTAGTAGATCAGGTTACGAATATTTTTTGTTTTTAATGCTTATCTGATAAAATTTGTCTTAGGCACATGAGGTCAATATTGATAAGGTGAAATAGATAAAAATGTATATTATAAAAAATTTTACTTGAATGGCAGTGTAATTGCATTTAACAGATAATCATTCACCACCCCAACTTTCTATTTTTAAAAAAATAGATTTCTTAGTTTTGAGTTAATGAAACTAACATAACTGCATGAGAAGTAAAAAGTATTTATCCAGGTGTAAATTGTTAACACCAACTATAAACACCTACTTTTCTATCCCTGTTACATTCCCAGTTTAAAAGTAGGAAGTACTAACTAGGACAGATTGTTGCTAGACAAGGTTTGTTTTTAAAATGTTATGCTTTGTTTCCAAACAACAATTTATTTGGTGGGCTGCACATTTATAGTGAGTTTTATAATAGACTTTATAACTACAGGTTTTCAAAAATCACACTCTATTTATAATTTTTTCAGGAGATAAATCTCCCCCTAAACTTGAACCATCAGATGCATTACCTCTTCCTTCAAACTTGGAGACTAATTCAGAACCACCAACCCTCAAACCAGTAGAACTCAATCCAGAGCAGAGTAAGCTTTACAAAAGAGTAAAATTTGATAATGAATTATATAGCACTTCCATTCAGAAAGAAATAAATGGACACACTCCAGAACACTTACTTGACAGTAATCTCAATGAGTCGACTGTTTCTGCTGTAGCTGAGTCATCAACTGATGTAAACAGACGTACATCCATTCTCTTCTGCAAATCGAAAAGTATAAGCCCCCAAAAGTCTGCAAAGAACACTGAAACCCAGCCAACTTCTCCACAGCTAGGGACCAAAACCTTTTTGTCTGTAGTCCTTCCAAGGTTGGAGACACTTCTGCACCCAAGGAAAAGATCAAGGAGTGCATGTGGAGATTCTGAGGTTGATGATGAGTCCCCTGTAAAGCGCTTGGATACAGGTAAATGTTACAAAACTTACTTGAATGGATGCATCTTGAAAGTTAACATACCTGTTAATTTTTTGACATACATATAATTATTGATTTTCAGATTTTAGCACTTGAACGGTTTTTCCTCATAGTTGAGTAGTTAAAGTTCAGAAAATTAGTGATTCATTTTTGTGTTGGCCCTATCCAGTTAGACTTAGTGAAGCAAGTTTTACCTTTTCACAGTTGTCACTTTAGGAATGGAATCTTCACGTTTACATGTATGGGTGGGTGATTATTTCTTTTTTTTAAAGCTGTTTTCTCTCTCCTTTTGTTGCAACCAATAGGAAAGGTGAATCAGCTGCTTTTTTGGAAATTCCCTGTTAAATTACATGGAAACTTTGTGTATATGGTGCCAAAACTTAGAACTCTTATAAGGAGTAGCATGGAAAATGCGTGTTCCATGTATGACTTCATTTTGCTGTAGTGTTACTCCAAGCATATTTTCACGTTCTGAAACTGATGACTGTATGCGAGGTACTTTCGTATACCCATGTATTTTATGGAAGTGTTAAAATCCCAAAGTATACTGGCGTTTCCTGTGTTTTTTCTTCAGTCTGTGCACTTTAAATAAAGTTGAAGAATCTACACTTACATTACACTTGTAAGGTTATGCTCTTAATGAGACTTCTCGAAAGAACATTAAAAAAAAAAGTTATCTTGATATGTCGGTGCAGTAATGTTGAAGACATTCATTACACCTTTTCTTAGCAAACCATAGTTCTATTTATTAGAGAAGTTTGAACAAACCCCTCTTTGAGGAAGAACAGCAGCATAAGGAAATTATTTAAGTGTATTTCTGTAATGTTATCCATGGCCATTGCTGTGACTTCTGTATTACCTTTGAAATAAATACTGTTTCATTGTCATGTTGATGACCTGTATGCAGGTATGAAAACAGCATCTGTTTTTTTTGTGATCTTTAAAGATACAAGAATTTAATTTGAACATTTATTGTGAAGACGTGCTCCAAAAGCTATTTGGGTTTTTTTGTGGGTATTTTCGTGATTCAGTGGGGGAGCAAGTTCTGTTGGTGTGGTTTTTTTTGTTTGTTTGTTTTGTTTTTCTTTGTTTTTTTTTTGTTCGTTTGTCTTCTGGAGTTTTTTTTAATGATCAAGTAAGGAGGAAAATTATTCTTATGCTGGAATCATAGCATAAGAAAATAAGTAAGATTTGGTGCTAGGGAGGCAGAGTGTCTTTTAATTTATATTTTTTTTGTTTGTTTTGCCACTTTGGAGAGCCTCGGTTTCCATTCCTTTTCATAACAGCCTGGAAAGAGCACGTAGGCTTGATCGGGTACATGAGTTCTGAGGTGGGAATCGTGTGATGATAGAAATGACTTGATCTTCATTAATGATATAAAAAGCTTTGGTTTCCAAATATTATAGAATCATAGAATGGTTAGGGGTGGAAGGGACCTCAAAGATCATCAAGTTCCAAGCCCCCTGCCATGGGCAGGGAAATCCTCCACTACACCAGGTTGCCCAAAGCCTCATCCAACTTGGCCTTGAACACCTCCAGGGATGGGGCATCCACAACCTCTCTGGGCAACCTGTTCCAGTACCTCACCACCCTCAATGTAAAGAATTTCTTTCTTATATCTAACCTAAATCTGCCCTCTTTCAGTTTAAATCCATTGCCCCTTGTCCTATCACTACACGCCCTTGTAAAAAGTCCCTCTCCAGCTTTCCTGTAGGCCCCCTTTAGGTACTGGAAAGCTGCTATAAGATCACCCCGGAGCCTTCTCTTCTCCAGGCTGAACAGCCCCAACTCTCTCAGCCTGTCTTCATAGCAGAGGTGTTCCAGCCCTCTGATCATCTTCGTGGCCCTCCTCTGGACTCGTTCCAGTAGCTCCATGTCCTTCTTGTGTTGGGGACTCCAGAGCTGAACACAGTATTCCAGGTGGGGTCTCATGAGAGCTGAGTAGAGGGGCAGAATCACTTCCCTCGACCTGCTGGCCACGCTCCTTTTGATGCAGCCCAGGATACGGTTGGCTTTCTGGGCTGCCAGCGCACATTGCCGGCTCATGTTGAGCTTCTCATCCACCAGCACTCCCAAGTCCTTCTCATTAGGGCTGCTCTCCATCCATTCTCCGCCCA